TGTTCTGTATGATAAACACGATGACTGGAGTACTTGGTCATTGATGGTTGTTATCCCAAAGCATGAGCAATACTTTGTTTTTTTATTATAATTTGCATTGTTGGAAGAGTTTTCCTTACAAGCTTACTGATTTCTTATTATGCAAGGATTTGTTCCTATATGGTTTGTGGAGTGTACTGCTTACTATGGAAAGTAGACAATTGACTTATAATTTGGTGCTTGGTGGCAGGTTGTGATCTTGGGTTCAGAGATCAGAAGTCCTCAGATTGGCCTACAGGCTCTTTCTAGGGCCCTTTCTCAAAAAGGAATCGCTAAGAAGATACAGGTCTGTTTTTGTAGAGTAAACTTCTCACTGTAATTAAGTTCGAATATTTTCAAGGTTTTCTTGTGTTTTTGTCTGTTCTAATTGCAGGTTATTGCAAGGGCTCGGGTGCCAATTGTTAAATTTGTAGAGAAGAAAAGTGGTGTTTCCTTTGATATAAGGTTTGGCTATTCAACCTTTGTCTTTTATTAGATTTCATAGTTCGACTATTGATTCGTTTATGAGAAATAAGTCATAGATTACTACTTATTACCGTAGCTTTGTCATACTTCACTCTTTTCTCAATCGCAGTAAGTTATGATTTTAAGAGGATAGCTTCGTTGTTTTATCTTTAGCAATTAACTGTAGTGTAGTATTATTCTCCATGGTTAGATTTTTTGTTTGGGACTGATTGAGGATATAAGGGAAAAAGGCTTAGGTGGTTGGGTTATATTTTGCTTTGCTCTGAAGAGGCTCATTTCATAAGACTGACACGATTTCAGAAGACCAAGTTTGAAGGGAGAGTAGGCCAAAATTAATTTCGCATTTGGTAGTTTCTAAGGATCTAAGTGCTTTACATCTCCTAGTAAATTCTACTAGTAACACAGTGAATGGCATGGCGAAGAATGATTTATATGGTTAACCCAAATTTATTGAGAACAAGGCTTAGTTTGTTGTGCAATTTTTGTTGATGTCTACAATATGACCTTCTTTTAAAGATTCTCATTCCAAATTACCCGGTACTCGGCTACTTGCAATATATGATAACATGGATTCTAGGGCAAATTTTGAGGGTAAAGCAAAAAAGTTAAATCAGTTATCCGCCTTTTCAACTATCATCCAAAGCTTTATGCCAATTTCAACTCACTCAATCGTCCACGGAGGGAGAGTTAAATTAGAAATGAAGCTGTCCAATACATTGATAAAACCTTACTGATTAATCTATGTTTTGGTGAACATGACAAATGAAAATCAGAATGAGACTAATATTTCTTTATGTTGGAAATGAACACTTGATTCAACGACTTTTTCTTGTTCTTCCTCATTTTCTTTATCTTCATCATTATTATTTCCTTTTGGGTGGGGTTGTGGTGCTTGTATGGTGGTGCTTCTTAAGTGCTTATAAGCAGCTATGAAATAATAAGTGGGTAATAAATTGTGAATTTTAAGAATTGTGTCGATAAAAAGTGTGTTCGACTAGCTTAGATAATAATTTAAGCTTTGCCAGACACTCTCTTATTTTCATTTCTTGGTTTTAAAGGAAAAGAAAAATTAACTTGGTTTGTAATAGTTTCTATGGATCTAAATACTTTAGATCTCTCATTAGATCTACTGACAAAGAGAATGGAATAGCAAAGAAGGAATCATGTAGTCAGTGCAAATTCTTAGGAACAAGGCTAGTGCTTGTTTTGGCTAAACTTCTAAGTGCTCAGGGTTCAAAGGTTAAAAATGATGTTTGACCAGTTTGAAAAATCTTTGCCAAATATGCTCTTAAGAAGTTTGTTGTGGATAATGTGCACGATATGGCCTTTTTAAAGGTTCTCGTTCCAAAATACCTGTACTTGCAGAAAACGATAACAAGGATTCTAGGACAAACTTTGAGTGTAAAGCCAAGATGTTACAACAATTATCCACCTTTTCAACTCTCATCTAAACTCCCTGCCAATTCCGGCACATTCAATTGTGAACTGCGGAAGTATCAAATTAGAAATGAAGCCTTCTTCAACTTTGATATCAGTTTTGACAAGAGCCAATGCGTTTATAGAACTTTAACAATAATCTCTGTTTTTGTGAACATGACAAATGAAAATCCTACTCTAGAACACATATCCATGGTGTGTCCTATTTTATATACGAATTTGTGAAGTTTTGACATGCGATGGATACTTTCACGAAATGACTTGAACACGTGAATATTTTTGATACGCGAATATTTCAATTTTGATATGCAATACTGGTACAAAGTACTAAAAGTAGTTACTTGTCATGCTCAAAAAATTCATCTCCAATATTCAAACCTAAAGAGTATTAATTCTATTTCAAACAACATAGTGCTAAATTAAAATGTGGCATATAGATGATGTAATAATGTATGGTTTTTTAGTGTCCCGAGGTGGCCTTGTCCTGCTTTCTTGAAAAGTCTTGTATCGTTGTGTCCGTGTTGCGTTCTTGTCCGTGTGTCCACGTACCATGTCTGTGATGCATGGAAATGATCTTCTGCTCAAATGTTCAATGTTATCATCATCCTTCTGCCACATTTTGACTACTTTTTTGGTTTGATTTCTTATGTCTTGGCAACAGCTTTGATGTTCAAAGTGGGCCGAAGTCTGCAGAGTTTATAACTGTATGTTCCATTAGCTTAGATAATTTTTATGATATTTTTGTTGGTACTATGATGTTATTTCCATTAATACTTTTGACTCTCTTGTAGGATGCTATATCTAAATGGCCACCATTACGACCCTTGTGTCTGATTTTGAAAGTTTTCCTGCAGCAAAGAGAGTTGAACGAGGTGAATATTCATGGTTTTAAGTTCATATGCCAGAAATATATATTCCATTTTCTTTTACTCAGGAGCACTTTTCCCTCTAGGTTTACACTGGTGGAATTGGTTCGTATGCGCTCCTTGTCATGCTCATAGCAATGTTGCAGGTAATTAGACTAGAATGATATTTCCAATAGTGAAATGACTATTCTATTCCATAATTACTATAAGATACATAAAATTTATCATCAAATTAATTATGACAAGAGAAAACAATAATCCCCTTGCGCCATTGGAGGCACTGACTCTGTTTTTGAAACAGATTTAGTGATACCTTTGGTTACTGGAGTAGTTGCTGTTTCCAAATGCACTGAGAAACATAATCAAACAACAGAATTTGTCCGATTTCCAATATTTCAAAAGTGGTGATGTTTTCCGCCTTGCCTTGGGCATGTTTTTTGAAAGCATCAATTCTTAGATGAAACGAGTCGTAATTCTTTTAAAAACTTCATATTCATTCCTTCCTTTTATTGTTTACTGGATTTGTTTGCCTATCACTTCTAATATTTCAGAGTCAGCAAGATCGACAGGCTTCTCCAGAATATAACCTCGGAGTTCTACTGGTAAGCTTGTGTGGTGAGTGTATATAGTATATGATTTTTTATTTATTTATATTTTTTTTTCCTGAATTTCGTGATTCCTGTTTAAATTGTTCCTTTTTCCATTTTCCATTTTGGTTATGAAGCACATTGACCCCAAATCTAATGGGTTGTACATTTTTCCTTAGAGGCAAATAGCCAGATTTTTGTGCTGGTCTTTTTTCTTTTTTGAGAATGTAATGAATGATCATTGTAGTCAATTAGGAAAATGGCGTGTAAACTGGGATACTGTATATTAGTTGGTTGCATTGGAAGATTTAAGGTCACCCTTTTTGGAATGGACGTTTCTTCGTGTGTAAATAAAAGAAGTCCATGTAATTTCACACTAGATCAGTCAAAACTTCAATGCATATTTTATCTTTTATTATAACTGTGAGTACTACAAGCCTAAAAGTAGTGGATGTGATTTGCAGATCAGAGAACTGTTCCTTTAGATAAAATAAATAAGTTATTTGACGGAGAAACGTCAGTGAAAGATGACTGTTATAAGCACTTTAGGGCCTGTTTGGGTTGGATTTTAATCTGATTTTAATTCAAGTTAAAGTCAAATAATTAATATTAACCATATCTTTCATGGGTCCCACATATTTTCAACTACACATTTCAAAAACTTCTATCACAATCAACTAAAAATCTAATTTTAATCTCGACCAAACACCATCTAACCTTTGAAACTTCACTTCTTTCTTTACCCTTGAAGTGGCTGACAGCATTACATTGTGCACAGTCTAGTCTTTATTTATTTATTTTTTATTTCATTCATTTTTGTTTTATGAAGTTGATTTTGGATTTAATCTTGTTTTAAAGACATCCTTTCCTAATTAACAAACTACTTTTTCAATAAAATTATAATAATAATTGTTAGCCTATTACAGTAAGCTTATGGACTTTATAGTTTATCATGATTTTGCTTTTGGAATATAGGTGAACTTTTTCGATGTATATGGTCGCAAGTTGAATACAACTGATGTTGGTGTATCTTGCAATGGGGGAGGCACTTTCTTCTTAAAAAGCAGCAAGGGGTAACATTTTCTTCAATGGTTCTGAAACTCTTTAACTTGATCTAGTGGTTTTTATTGAGTTTGATTGTTGTTCCATGGGGCTTTCTCTTCTGTTCAGGTTTTTAGTTAAAGGAAAGCCCTCTGTTATCGCCATTGAGGACCCGCAGGTAACATAATAAATTTTGATACATTTTGATTTCTGCTCCTCAAAGGAACTCTCTGGAAAGCACAGAACACATTCATTGGATATGTTTCTGAGTGCAGGATTTACGTTGCTGCATCTTACAGTTTTATTTTTTCTTCTCTCTATTTGTTATTTATGTTTTGCTGCTTTCATTAAGATATTTGAGAGACTATATATAACCTCTATGTGGGAGGAAAAACGGAAAACGAGCATCTTGCACAGTTTATTATATCATGTAATTATTCACATAATTATTTGTTCTGACAACAGGATCCAGATAATGACATAGGGAAGAACTCTTACAACTTTTTTCAGGTGAGAGTCTTCCTAAAGCCGTATTTTTTCCTCTGCTTTCCTTTACTTCCTAACTCCAACAACTATTTGCGAATTGAAGACATGAAGTGAATTATGAACGAAGAAGTACTTCGTCTTTGCGAGTGACTCACCTGTACAAAGGTCATAACTGGTTGCTTCCTTGGCATCGCAAATAGCTGCTCTGTCCCTACCCCAAAACAAAAAACAAAAGAAGGTTAAAAGGAAATATCTGGGGGAGATTTATGCTGTTTCCTGTTATCTCCTATTCTTTCAGTCTCTCAGTACCAGATTTTCTTTTAGTTACTTGCAATAATTGTGGTAACATGTCTGAACTCTCTGAGAGCAACTGCTGTCATATGGCTGAGTAAATAGCGGATCAAATTTGACTGCTCTTGCTCTTGCTCTTGCTCTTGCTCTTGCTCTTTGGTTGATTACATGATTTTTGGGCCTAGAACTTGTTTAGTTTTATTATTCTCTGTTTGTGCTGGTGGTCCTCGTTGATATTTCTCCTGCTTTTCCATTTACTTTGATTGTGGCCAAGTTCTTATTTATTTTCTGGGATCATATTTGAGAAGACGACTTCTACTTATTTTATGTTACTGCAGGTTAGATCTGCTTTTGCAATGGCTTTCACAACGTTGACAAATGCAAAGGCCATAATGGGACTAGGCCCCAACAGGAGCATTCTTGGCACTATAATCAGACCCGATGCAGTATTGCTGGAACGGAAAGGAGGGTCTAGCGGAGAAGTGACATTTCAGACCTTGCTTCCAGGTGCTGGAGAGCCATTGAAGCAACAATTTTCCAACCAGCCGGAGATTTATTGTAATTGGCAGTTAGATTATGATGAAGATCCACTCCCACGTGGAGATGGGATCTCTGAGAATGGTAATGTCCAGTCCTCAAAAAAGAAGAGAAGGGCTTCTAAGGAGAACAAGCCTGCAAAAAAGGTGAAAGAAAATAGAGAGAGACGTGAAGAAATTGGTACAACTAAGGAGAGGAGTGCAAAGAAACCGCGTTGGAGACATCACCAACGTAATGGTGATAGCAACAGACAGCGCCATGGTGGCGGCGGCAGCGGCGGCTCATCCTCTTCACATAAGCATTAATTAGTTTTCTGTGCTTAAAATATTCACCCGGGCTCCTGAGGGTATGTAGTTCCAGCTATTAGGAACTTCCGTGGAGGGAAATGTAGTTGAAGATGGGCATATAAATTCCGACCCTTCTAATGAGAGAGCTTCCTTCTATCGAAATATTTACATTCGAAAGGGTCAAGTTTTGACAGGCAAGCTACTTGCACTCATTTTTATCTGTTCAATAGAGTTCTGAATTGAGAAAAAGTCGCACATGGTTGGGATTGCGACTTCTTTCCAACTTCCATACGTAGTTGACTTTTTAAAAAAAAAAAAATCAAGTGCTACTGTCAACTGCCTTATCTTTATAAGCCCCACGGTACGAGAAAGAACGTTTGGGAGCAACAGCGACAAGTGGAGCTTGAGGAACCGATAATGAAATTGAGGCACAGATATAGGGTTGGACAAAATTTTCGAACCGGATCCAACCGAATCGAATTGAGCGGCTGTTCATAAGTTAAATATCCGAACGAGTATCTGAATCGAGAACCGACCAGTTTGGTTCGATTCTCGGTTCTAGACCCGGAATTGAAGAACTGAATAAAAATTGAATTTAAATAATTTATATTGAATTAATTAATTTTTTAATTTTTTTAAAACAAATTAACTAATTTAGTGATTAATGTTCTAATTCTCAAGTGAAGTTCATGCCTAGCTAATCCTGTAAAATTCAATTTCTAAATTTAATTTTTTGATCATATTATTAATTTCAATCTTAGCCTAGGATCTAGGTCTTTTAAAGTTTTTATCATTCTCTTTGAATGTTACACCTCTTACTCGGTAACCACTGAGTCACTGACACCAAATCATTTGATGAATTGAAAACCTACCTACATCCACATGCACAAATCGAAACAGTAGACTGCTGAGTCCGACTTCCTCTCTCCAATGCACATCGAAGCCGCGACCTTCAACAACGATCATCGATCGTTGGACCATTGGAAATTTGTTAAAAAATTTAATTATGGTACGGAATCGAACCCGAACGGTTCCATAATTATATTTGCACCCGACGTTTCATTTATTAAATACCTGAAAATTTTGGTTTGATTCAGTTCTGAAGAGAATCGGACCGGACCGGACCGGACCATGTCCAGATATGAGAGTTTAAAGACTGTTATTTACATAATTACAATTTATTTGCAAAAACAAAACAATGATGGATCCACATTGAATTTGGAAGGCAAATGATCACATTAGACATGGTTTTTATTAATTTTAAATTCATATTTTGTAATAATTTTAGTGCTTAAAATTATACTCGATATCCCGTCCAGAGTCGACCTGATTATAGGTAGATAAGTTTCGATTTTCCGAAAAATAAGTTTTATTAGTTAAAAAGTAACTTCAAAACTATTTTTAATGGGGATAATGTTCAATGTACACGACTATTTACATATTATTTTATATAACGATGAGTACTAAGTGGGAAAGTTAATTAATTGATTGAATTTTGATCCAATTAAATCGTATAATCTATCGATAAAGTACTAAGTGGTGAAGTTAATTGATTGATTAAATTTTGATCCAATTGAATCTGATCGTATAATCTGTTGATAAATTATCACGTGAATTTGTACGGTTAGCACAACAAATAAGTAACTTATATATAAGTATTGGACGGAGCTGCCATTACTCATCAGAACACTCCAACCTCCACCAAAGGGCAAGCGCGATTGACTCTTCTCTTATCCGAGCAAAATCTCACCGGCGAAGTATCCAAATGGGGATCTGCACGCCATCATTTTCCGATTCGAGCTCTGGCTCTGGCGCCGCGTCAACCAAATCATGGATTATTCACGGCCTGGCGGTTGGGGCGGCGGCCGCGGTGGCACTTGGTGCTCACGCCTACTTGTATTATCGTCGATCCGGAAGGTTCCGGAGCCGGGTTGTCGGGATCATACCTGCCCGTTTCGCTTCCTCTAGGTTCCAAGGCAAACCACTCGTTCACATCCTTGGCAAGCCCATGATCCAAGTATTTCTGCTTATTTATTTCTTCTACTCGTACAACTGCTGTTATTATTTGAATTATTGAAGATTTCAATTAAATTAGTAAGTCTAGCCACTTTAGAACGGGTTAAGCATTTAGATGAGATAATTAATAAGGTGATAGAGCCAGACCAAAGACCTGGGTTCATATTTGCAGCCACCAATTTATGAAACTTGTGCAAGTGATATGCTGATGATAAAATGAATTCGACCTGTATGTGTGGGGCTTTTTGAAGATCAAATTTAAATAAATAAATGTGGCCCTTTACAAGGCTTAAGCTTTTAGATCAGCTCGATATGTGAATTATATTCATTGGCATCGTACATCGAATTTATTAGTCCTTGTTGGTTTTATCAAGTTATTTATTTTACGATAGATACAAATTTATGTGCAATTTTCCAGTCCGCTAGAAGGAGAATTATAACAATGAAATGGATATTTAAATTGTAGAGACTACAATGTTATGGATATATGATTATTCACCTTTCAATTCTTAATTACAGAGAACATGGGAAAGGGCAAAAATGGCGTCGTCATTGGATCATGTTGGTAGAGCTCCACTTCATTTTGCTCTATATATGCTTGTGTATAAATAAAAAGACATAAATAGAATTATGTTAAACTTTTTGGTTTTTGTGGTTTCTAATTGGGTGCTGAATTATTGATGTAGTTGTGGCGACAGATGATGAAAATATTGCAGAATGCTGTAGAGGATTTGGCGCTGATGTGATAATGACATCAGAATCATGTCGAAATGGTAAGATTAATCCTTCAATCTGCTGTAAATCATGGAAACTTGTGTTGGTTGGATACATTGCTAATTTTTTTCTTTTATAAATATTCTAGGCACAGAGCGTTGTAATGAAGCACATCAAAAGCTTGGGAACAAGTACGATATTGTTGTCAATATTCAGGGGGATGAGCCTCTCATTGAACCTGAAATAATAGATGGCATAGTAAAGGCTCTTCAGGTAGTGTTTACGTCGTATGTACTTCATGGCTAATGGATTCGGTAGTATAGAAAATAACAAAAAATGGAAAAGAGAGGGATGGTAAAGGTTGAGCTCAAATTTGTTCACCTTTTCTCTCCGTCAAGATAACAGTCAATAGCATCTCCAAAATGCGATGCCCAGTTCCCGCAATGAGCAGTGAACGCATTGACAGTATCTATTTGGTATGTCATTTATGACCACTCCAAACCAATCTACAACTCTTGGCGCTCACGCCTTGAGGATATTAAAGCATTTAGATAGCACTTATGAGTTCATAGCGGTGAACTGCAGATTGGTATGAAGGATAACTGCTTTATAATAGACACACTGCTATTAACCTAAGTGAAAATAAAGTACGCATGATGGTTTCAACTTAGGAGATAGGCTAGTGTATGCGGAGATTGAATATTTATATTGTATAGACAAGTTTCCCGATTATTTTTCATTGAAATCCAAAGGTTAGTCTTCCATGTGTACCAGGGTGTTAAGGAAGTCTCATTGGTGCGCATGAATGCAATGATGGAATCCATAATGTGAACCAATCCTTGGTCATTTAATCCCTGTCAGAGCACCTTCAGGGTCCCATGAGTATCAGGCCTTGGGGTTGTTGGTCTATTCCCATTTGGGCTATTCTTGTGGGTTTCTCATGGTACTTTTGAATTGGAACGAGAACTAAATACTTTTCTTTGTGAACTTTATCTTCTCATAATCCTTGAGACTGGAATGAGAATTTGGAAGCAAACCTTCATAAAGCAAACTGTGGTGGAGCAAAATATCTTGATGCACCATTGATCAGCTTGCTCCCTCTTAATAAGATAATAATACAAATTTCAAATGCAAGATTTGTGGTATTTAATAAAAAATTCTGAATTAAAAATTATTATGAAATAGGAAAAATATGCTACGTTTTATGGGTTTGTACTCGTGTTTGTTTCATGGCCACTTTATGCAACTCAAATGAGATTTGTAACTTGTGCAGGCTACTCCAGATGCAGTGTTCAGCACCGCAGTTACTGCTTTGAAATCTGAAGATGCATTCGATCCAAATCGTGTTAAATGCGTGGTGGACAGTCGTGGATATGCAATTTATTTTTCACGAGGACTGATACCATTCAACAAGTTGGTGCTTCTCTGCTTTGCAATCAATATTCGAAAGCATATCTCAGACATACTTAAATTTAAAATATTGACATTTGTTTATTATGTATTTGATATAGGTCTGGAAAGGTCAATCCTCAATTTCCGTACTTGCTTCATCTGGGGATTCAGGTATCTATTAAAGAATTCTGGTCTATTCATCATTATTACTGTCTGCTCCATAATCCTGTACTGAAATATCAACGTTGAGTCTGTACACGGCCGGCCCTGAGAATTTAGAGGCCCTAGGCGATTGATTATTACGAGGCCCTTCAACATAATTATTTTTTCAAAACAAAATTTAACTGAAATATCAACGTTGAGTCTGTACAGGGCCGGCCCTGAGAATTTAGAGGCCCTAGGCGATTGATTATTACGAGGCCCTTCAACATAATTATTTTTTCAAAACAAAATTTAATTATTGAGTAAAAATGTATTCGTTGGCTGATCGAAACTCTTCCATACAGCCTTATTTGGATCACCACTCGCATGACTCCCAAACAAAACAAGATCACCAGTATCTATTAAAACAGCAGTGGAATTATTTGGTGCAACTGTGGCATTGGTACACCAAATCGTATCACCATTCTCATTCAATATGATCAAATTTCCATCATTTGCAATTCTTAAATCTCCACTTGCCACTGATTGGATTTTCTCTATTTGCAACCCACACCACAGATTGATTTTCCACTTTATTGTACCAGATTCCAACATACTGAAATATCAACGTTGAGTCTGTATAGCCATTTTTTTCAGCTCTACATCGCACCTCTTGTTGTATAGATGGATTTGTTTTTTTTTTCTCCTCACAATTTAGGATTTATTATCATGCATGCATGCATGGATTAACATCAAGTTTAACAGGACAAGTTTCACTTACCAATTTCAAACTCCCTGTACCAATTACAACACTCGTATCTTGTTCAACGTCAAATCCTGAGGTGTTACTACTACTGTTTGAAAGAAAACTTAATTAAAGAGAATTTACTTCTTGGATCATGCATTGGACAAGTAATGTAACTTATGGGCCAGATAGAATCAAATGATTGAACTTTGATGGACCAATTCAATTGACATCTCTAATTTTATCTTTATATTTATCTATAATTTACTCAAGAAACATTTATAGGACCAAGTTCACGAATTAGGATGTGAAAGAGAAAAATATGGTTATTAAAACCATGAATTGTTCCATATGACAAAGTCAAAATTATATCGTAGCCACATTTAATAATATTTGCAATTATATAATAACTAAAGAATTAAACTATGACAAATGGTATTGAGTTTGCATATCTTCAAGGGTGGTGATTTTGAATGTGAGAACAACATAACAAGAAATTACTACCATGGTTGATTGTATCTGTCGGTATATAATGCTAAGTTTTGGATGTTTGTACAGAGCCTTGATTCAAAGTTCCTTGAGATATATCCAGAGCTGCCGCCAACTCCACTTCAACTGGAAGAAGATCTTGAACAACTGAAAGTACTTGAAAACGGATACAAAATGAAGGTTGCAGTTAGAATTTCTGTCATGATTCCTTTTACCGATTCCCTCTTTTCTTTCTTAGTTCTTTATTTTCTTATGTACATTCCAAGATCTTGCCACTGAATTTAATGCCCTTTAAACATTTTGCATAACTTAAAAAGGTAAGTTTGACTTCACCTATAAGCTTACCCAAACATGCTGTAACTAGGCATTTGTGCACTGTCCTCCTATGATTGGACGTCAGTTGACTTAATTTTCTTAAATCTCCAAACTTTTAAATGCTTCATTTAAAAGTGAGGCGACCATAATTTTGTGCTTATGGAAAATAGTATACTCCTCGTTTATTACAGTTGATTTTTTTCAAGTTTTCTCAAATTTTTTCCATTCTTGTTCCTTTGCAGGTGATTAAAGTTGACCATGAGGCCCATGGTGTTGATGCACCAGAGGATGTAGAGAAAATAGAACGTTATATGCAAGAGAAAAACTTACCTTAACTCCTTCAATTCTGTTGCGCATTGCAGAGGGAATACCCACTGTTGAGAACATATGGAACCAATTAGTGTATTGAAAATGTGAGATCTTCTTTTAGTAGAGTTATGTACATGGTGACTGTTATGTGTGTAAAATGCGTTCTCTAGGTGTAAACAGGCTTGTAGAGTCTGTATGCGTATCGTTTTTCGAACTGAAACTATTTTGTTTTTGTGAAAGAATGAGAAATTAAATTATTTTGTTTTTGAGTAAATCTATGCAGTCTTTCAAGAAGCATCAAACTGGTTATATTCAGTTCAGCTTGATATTTAAACTATGCCCGGATCATACAGATTTGCATAGAGGTATACTGTTTAGTCAAGGAAGAGCAGAAGAATACTTCTTCGGCTTCTTCTTTCGTGTCTTCCCTACATCTAGCAGGTGGTTCTGCACGAAAATTTTCTTAGCTCAATTGCTTTACTATCTCAATGTTGAACTTTTGAAGCAAAACACGACCATCCTCAATGACCAATTGACATTTTTGGTTATGTCCGCACATTCTCCAACTTTTGCTAGTATGGTCTATAAATACGATAATGCGATAGTAAAATTACCCGGTTAAGACGATGTTCCATTGGTTTTGTATTTCCTTTAGAGCATTTGTCCCTAGACCAATTAAAGGTTACTTGCCCAGTTTACGCTTCTGAACCTCTTTAACTACATTCGCAATAGACCCAAAAGAACTCGAGATGTGAACTTAGCCTAATCCAACCATAGGCAAAGCATCTTTTTTATGGTTGAGTATTTTTAATAGGATTAAGAATCGAAATATGAATCAAGCTCTCGATTCTACTACTTGAAAACTGAAAACCTGAAATAAATCATTTTAGACTGCTTGGTTAAGTCATTTATGAAATATTACTCTACATTTACGTAAATTCTCTCGATCTCAATATAGACCTTTTATTATGATTTGCCTTAGTTCTATAGTTACATTTGGAACCGATGATTGTATAGTAAGTTTCCGATTTGTTTAATTATTTTCAAAACCAAATGGAACAAAACCGTCCCCTTCCCAAACATGCCTCTACTTAGAATGTGGGCCCCAATAGTAATCGTGCCCGAGCTGTTGAATGAAACGTGTCAAGACATTATATTGTAACTACTTCTCATCCATTCATCATCTAATCCTCCCAAAAGTATCCCAAAACCAAACAAATTTCACTGCACCACTCACAACCCAATTATCCATAAGCGAAATCTCTCTGCGCGAGAATTTTGAGTTTTTCCGCTATGGCTGGTGTATTGAAAACCCTAACTGTCCCGCGCGCCTCCGCTCTCCAGTCAGCCTCACTGGCTCCGGTAACCGGAGGTTCCTTTTCTCTCCGAAGCTCCGTCAAATTAGCCGAGTTTAGAGGTCTGAAGATCCATCTGGCTCGATCATCCGCATCGCTGAATTTACGTTCAAAACTACCTTGCCGTGGTAGTCGAATCGTCTGCGAGGCGCAAAAGACAGCTGATGAAGGTTCGTATTTCAGCATTTTTTTTGTTTGTTCCTTTTTTCTTTATATTTTGTTTCAGCGCTCGATACTTTTAGATTGTTTGTTTAATTATACGTTAGTGATGCCAAATCTACTTGGAATGAGATGTAAACTATGACACAAAACTTCGGCTGAAATTTACTTTAAAAAAAGTGCTGGAAATTGTTTCTGAATAGAATCGATAGGTTTGTTATACTTCACTCAAAAATTGCATGTAAGTGGAGCTCGAAAAAGTTACTTTTGAATTTGGAAACTATTTCCCCATTCTACCAACTCTAAACTCTGAATACAGTGCAACTTGGGTGATGAGTTTCGCTAATGTTTAACGTCAGACTGCAAATTGGTGCTTATATTGCTAAGGTTTATTTGTAAATGATAAGAGTCAAAATCTTTTCTTTTTGAAATGGATGGCAAAATAAATCATGAGTGATGTAGGGTAATACTTTTTATTTACTAGTTACATTGATATATAATCTAAGGTTACAGTGGGCAGGGATATAAGGCCACAGCCAATGTGGCAGCGAGTGGCATCAGCGGTGGCCATTATAATCTAAGTGACACATTAATAATGCTAAAGTCCATCTTTACCGCCCTAAACTTAGCATGTAAAGCAAATAGTTGTTACTGATATTTTGTTTGGGTGCACTTTACTGCCATTGTACTCTTTGGGTAATGCTTCAGTAGAAGAAAAGCTGAGAGGTTACTAAGGTTTCTTTTTTATTTGTTTGTGCTTGTACAGTTATTCAAGGAGAATTGCAAAACAGGCCAGCAAATGCTTAGCCAACATGAACATAAATGACTTATGAGATGTGGTAGTTATTCATTGTTAAGTGGATTGTGTCCGTCATTAATTTGATAACAAAGTTCGGCGCTTACCTTTGACCAAATTAATGTTCAACCATACAACCCCCCTTAGCCATCCACATCCGTACAAACACCACAACACCACCACATCAACTGCCACAACCCTACCTTTAAACATATAAACCCATAAGACAGCAGCAATCAACAATAAATCTGCTGGCAAGAAGTTTCCTGCTTTGCTTTGTTTAGTTTGTTTATATTAATTGACAAAAAAAATAGTTATTTTTGTTGTTGTGTACGACGTAACTGTTCACCTGTTAAGCAGTCTTTTTAAAAAAAACAGTAGGAAAAAAATTGCAGGCACCTTTGCTTTGCTGATGTCCTCAATTTCAATCCACCAGAAGAAGACCATGGCAGTATATTCCCGCAGTCAAAGTCCACTTGCCAAAATTGCATAAAACCTCCAAGTCCATCACATTCATTACAACCTATATTACCAACCCACTAACCTGACCTATGTCAAAATCATACTCTATTTGATGAGGGTATGGCACCTGATGAACTTGCTGTTTTAACAAGTTTAATTATCTAAAGCAATTTGAGCTACTAAACTCCCCGTCTTATATTTTACCCTTCTTCTTTACCCAAACAATGATGTTGATAAGTGAAAATAAGATGCATCCTGCATTTTTTTTTGCTGTTTTAACATTTCTGTAATTGTTATGTATGGCTTGATTTGCACTTCGATATATATGTTGCGGCACGTGACTTGCATAGTCAGCAATTCATTCTGGCGATAACTTTACTATTGTGGTCGTAAGTAGTGATCATAATAGTGGTTTGTTAATCCAAACTGCAGTGCCTGGTATTAAGGATTCAGCATGGAAGTCCCTTGTACTCGAGTCCGATTTACCTGTTTTAGTTGAATTTTGGGCACCATGGTGTGGGCCATGCCGCATGATCCACCCGGTCATTGATAAGCTGGCTAAGCAATATGCTGGAAAGCTTAAATGCTACAAGGTTAATACGGATGAGAGCCCTAGTATCGCTAGCGATTATGGAATCCGAAGCATTCCAACTGTTTTAATTTTCAAGAACGGAGAGAAGAAAGATGCAGTCATTGGTGCAGTTCCAGAATCCACATTGACAACTTGCATAGAAAAATTTGTGCAGATTGGTAAGTAGAATAATGCGTTTCCTGGGAATTAAGCTGTCTCTTTTGTTGTTTTAATTTGTCTCATGACATGGCAATAATGGCTATAATAACATGATATGCTTCTGTATAGTTGATGTATCTGGATTTCATGTTTTCTTCAACATATGTTAGTTGTTAAATTAATGTTCCTTTTCATATTGGCTTTGGATATTTGTTCTATATTGTTTTTTTTCCCCCTTCTGCCCTTTACGTTGATTTTAGTGTAGCGCAAATGGTAACATTTGGAAATGCCTCGTTTCTGAATTTGATTGGATTCTGTTAAGCAACACTATATCGAACCAATTCATATGCTGGTGGATCTATTTTGGTCGCTCCTTCTCCATAAGGATTGAGTGTTGTGCAAAGTGTTACGAGTACAAGAAAAAGACTGTCCAACCAAGAAAGGCTTGGAAGACAATTCTTGAATTCTGTATAACGATAAACAATACTCGAAACAATGAAATACGACTCATCATTGAATCACTACGATACCTTGACATGCTTTTCATTGTGCTCAAGTTTGATGTCTACATTTGGAGGCCGGTCGGGTGTACAAGTTTTCCTTGTATGTAATATCTTCAATTTTACATACATATACATATTCTAACTTCGAAAGTTAATTAACTAAATATATGTGAAAATTCTACCCTACTCTTAAAAGTGACAATCCTTGGATCACTATTCATTTCTGTCACAGTAGTTTTCACATTTATCCTGCTTTCATCTGGTTTTGCTACAGTAACTTTTTTCCTTTTTTCATTCCCGTCACATTACTTTTCACATTGAAACCGGTTTTGTCATGTTCATCCAAATAGCCGACTTCACCTGACATATAAAAANAAATTTGTGCAGATTGGTAAGTAGAATAATGCGTTTCCTGGGAATTAAGCTGTCTCTTTTGTTGTTTTAATTTGTCTCATGACATGGCAATAATGGCTATAATAACATGATATGCTTCTGTATAGTTGATGTATCTGGATTTCATGTTTTCTTCAACATATGTTAGTTGTTAAATTAAGGTTCCTTTTCATATTGGCTTTGGATATTTGTTCTATATTGTTTTTTTCCCCCCTTCTGCTCTTTACGTTGATTTTAGTGTAGCGCAAATGGTAACATTTGGAAATGCCTCGTTTCTGAATTTGATTGGATTCTGTTAAGCAACACTATATCGAACCAATTCATATGCTGGTGGATCTATTTTGGTCGCTCCTTCTCCATAAGGATTGAGTGTTGTGCAAAGTGTTACGAGTACAAGAAAAAGACTGTCCAACCAAGAAAGGCTTGGAAGACAATTCTTGAATTCTGTATAACAATAAACAATACTCGAAACAATGAAATACGACCCATCATTGAATCACTACGATACCTTGACATGTTTTTCATTGTGCTCAAGTTTGATGTCTACATTTGGAGGCCGGTCGGGTGTACAAGTTTTCCTTGTATGTAATATCTTCAATTTTACATATACATATGCTAAATCTGAAATACTAACTTAGAAAGTTAATTAACTAATATATGAAAATTATAAGGGAGATTTTGTAATACAACGACAGCTTTTTTAGATAATATTTAACATTAAGCTGAATTTTGTTAATGTATGAGTAAACGTTTGTAAAAAAGTATTTATTTTTTGTTGTCAAGAAAAAAAAAAGTAATTATTTTTAACTGTTACATAAATAATTTACTTATTTTTAATTAAAAAATATAAAACATTTATTTACTTTAGAAATTACTTGAAGTATTTAGGGTGTGTGGATTGGCTTTATTTTCAATGAATAATGTTATTTTTTCACCCCAAATTTCGTGGGGTTCCTAAAAAGAAAACATTTTTTTTAGGAAACAATTAATTTTTATTTTTTTGGCAATTCACTTACACTATCTTATTTACCCACCGATAAAAGATAGACAAATATAACTTTTTCTAAGTTGAAAAATTAAACCAATCAAATATATTTAATTAATAATTTTCATATTTAGAACTTATTTTCTTTTTATATAAATTTCATACTTACAATCAAAAACACCGTCGTCAAGGAAAAAAAGTAATTATTTTTAACTGTCGCATAAATAATTCACTTATTTTTAATTATGCCTTTGTTTGATCCTCTATTGTGAAAAATTGATTTTTACATCAGTAGGATTTTGACAACACATGATAGTCAATCATTGTTGTCAAACAATGTTGTACACTTAGATTTATTCAAATAATATTGCATGCAAAATTAAATTTTTTTCTTATTTTTTAATAACACGTTCCCCACCGGTTTCAAAATTCATTTTGACAAAATAATTAAGCGTACCCAGATCAACGTCGTCGTCATTAAACTGTCCGTCGTCTGTAAAACCCTGAACCCTAACAGAAATCTCCAAACCCTAAACTATTTCTCCATGTCGCATTGCCAAGTACTATTTTTTACCAATCCCACCATGTTCAGTACCTTAAATAGATCGCTTTCATTTTCAAATAGTAGAAATCTCATTTTTCTCAGAAAAGCTTTGTCCTTGAAAACGTACTGCACAATAACTGCTGCTTCTCCTACTATTGATGTAAAATTCTCTGCCTCAAGGAGTAGAAATTTGTTTTCCAGAATAAGCCCTATCAGACAGGATGGTCATATCGTTCCCGTGCTCGATCAGTGGGTCGCTGAGGGTAGAAAGATTAATTACTTTGAGCTGCAGCGGATAATTCGAGATCTTCGAAGCCGTAGACGTTTTTCTCAGGCCCTTCAGGTTCGATTTTAAGTTGTCATATCTTTTTTCTTTGTTACTGGAAATCTTGGTTCCTTTTGAAATCTCCACGATATTGATAGCTGTATTACTTCTATAGTTTCCTCGTTCATAGGCAAAACTAATTCGGAATTGTGTTTCATTTACATCAATCCCACGAGCCTCTTATCCTTTGGGGGGATTTTTGTATATTTCCATTGAATAAAGCTACTCAAACACGGCCCTGTTCGAACAGGGCTAGCATAGCCCATTGGCATTTGTTACGAAAATATGTACTTGGTTAATTAAGGGTGTAAGGATGGAAGTGTAGATGGTACATAAAACATTTCCTTGGTTTTGGATTGATTTCCATGGATGAAGAAGATAATGATTTCATTATCACAAAGGAGATTGCTAAAATTCCTCCTAATTACAGGACTATGAGATTCTAAAACGCTTGAACCCTTCCTTGAGATGTGGAAACTCCTAATTAGTTCTAATTACAGCATGAAATGCAATTAAGGTTCATACCCACCTAGTGAAACGGCTTAAGAACGGAGGAGTGCTGGTCTAGAATTGTTGGGTAATGAAATTGAGTAAGTGGACAAAACATTACAACAACTTTTGCTCTAAAATTGAAGATCGTTATGTCCGTGAAAGCTTTTATTAATTTAACTTGTATATTTCATTCCTAAATTTAAATAGCACAAAAAAACATTTGAACTCCGGAATCACATTTCAATTTTTTTATGAAAGGCTCTTATATATTCATTTTTTTTTTTATTGGTGTACCATTTCACCCATTTCAACTGTGACATATTTGATCCATGATAATTTGGTCCAGTTTCAATTTATGTGTATAACATGTGTTGTTTTAAATATCTGCCGGTGGATGCTTGTGGCTGCAGATTTCTGAGTGGATGTCTTGTAAAGGTATCTTTGAATTTTTGCCGGGTGATTTTGCTGTGCATTTGGATCTTATTGGTGTGGTCCATGGATGGGAAGCTGCGGAGAGATACTTTGGTAATCTGAGTGACCTAGAGAAAAATGAAAAGACGTATGGTGCTCTCTTAAACTGTTATGTCAGAGGAGGCTCCTTAGACAAAACCCTTACCCATATGCAGAGGATGAAAGATAAGGGATATGCTTCATCTCTTGCTTACAACAATCTCATGACCCTATACAAAAAGACAGGCCAACTTGAGAAAATTCCTGATGTTCTGTCAGAAATGAAGAAGAATGGTATTGCCCCGAACAACTTCAGTTACAGAATTTGCATAAGATCGTATGGCGAGAGATCTGATCTAAATGGAATGGAGAAGCTCGCGGAAGAAATAGGGAGCCAACCTCACATCTCCATGGACTGGGCTACTTATTCCAATATGGCCTATTGTCTGATAAAAGCAAATGAAAAGGAGAAAGCACTTCTTTATCTGAAGAAACTAGAAGACAAGCTCGATAAAGATGCATTGGGCTATAATCACTTGATTTCATTATACGCACATCTTGGGAATAAGGACGAGATGATGAGATTGTGGGTTTTGCAGAAGGATGCATGTAAAAAGCAAATTAACAGAGACTACATAACCATGCTGGGTTCTCTAGTGAAGCTCGGTGAGTTTGAGACAGCTGAGAAATTGCTAAAGGATTGGGATTCTTCTTGTCGTACATATGATTTCAGAGTGCCAAATATACTCCTAATTGGGTACTGTCAGGAAGGTCTAATCGAGAAGGCTGAGACAATGCTTCAAGATATTACGGCTAGGGGAAAGATGCCAACGCCAAACAGTTGGGCCATCATTGCTGCTGGGTATTTGAGTAAGGACAATATGGAGAAGGCTTTTGAGTGCTTGAAGGAAGCTCTTGCCGTGAAAGAAGAAAACACAGGATGGATGCCAAAACCCGCAATAATTACACGGATATTGAACTGGCTTGGTGAAAAAGCAGATCCTGAACAGGTTGAAGCTTTCTTGTGGTCACTTAGGACGGTAACTCCAGTAAATAGACATATGTACCACACCTTAATAAAAGTGAATAAAAGAGTTGGGCGAGAAGTAGATTCGATTTTGGAAAGCATGAAAGCTGATAAAATAGACACAGATGAAGAAACAGAAAATATTCTTAGCTTATGATGAAGGGAGCTTATTGAATCGCTATTTCACACACGTATTTAATTGTCTGCACTTCAGAATAGTTATCCTGGAGACGTAAAATACTTGAGTCTCCTCAAAAATCAAAACTGTGTACTGCATCTCACACAGACACAGGGGAGCATGAGGCATGCAGCATCACTATGCGCTTTGCAAAACCAGATTTTCTTTACTTTTTTCGTTTCTCTGTTGGCATGATTATGCCTTTTTAATGTATTTACAGTTTTTAATTTCAATTTTGTATCTTTCGTCGTTATTTTGTAACTGTGAAGTGTTCTTACTGTTCTGAACGGTTAATAAATAGTCAAACAATAGCCAAACATGGGCCCACAGTATTATCAGTCCAGTGTACTTTTTCAACAGTCCAATAAACAGAAGTGTAAAAGTTTTTCCCTTTTAATGTATCTATAGATCTTTAAACTTCAAAGTGCAAAATTTTTTTAATCAAAATTCAAGTAATTAAATAGAACACTAGTTTCTGCTTTTTTCTAAGTTTTGGCCATTTCCCTTTTCAGGCTAGAACTTTTGCAAGAATGTGAAAGACGGAAGCAAGAACAAGTGGAAGCTTTAAAGTGGGAGATGCAGAGTGGAATGGTATTCTTAAGCAGTAAAATCTCATTTTCTAGACAATACAAAGTCAATTAATCGGTTTTGTTTACTTGATGCCAGGCTCAAGCAATGAAAGAGCAAGCCCGACTCAAGGAAGAGGATGGCTTACCAATACAAGCTCGCCAACTTTGAGGTGAGGATCATCTTGAAAAGGTCGCAAGTCCATTTTCATCCCATGTATTAACTAGTTTTAATCAACTGGCTGCAGCTGCTATTCATCTCATATTACTAGCTTTTGGAATTTTTGTAAGATTTGCGTAAACTTCTCTTCGGATTCTGGATCTGTAATTTCCTCTATTAGATCTTACTAGAGTATTCGAAATTTTTGAGTTAGGAGCCTGCGATGAAATTGCATCAATTAACACCTCAACTTCTGAAATTGAATTTGCCCATCTTCCTCTTCGAAATTGATAATTGTGATGGTGTTTTTCTTCAAAACACAGGTGGTGGTTGTTGGTAGTGGTGATTTGGGTGGTGTTGGTGAGGTTGTGTGGCGATGGTGGTGCGGTGGATCTAGGTAGGACGACGGTGGTATTTACTTGGTGTGGTTGGTTGACAATGGTGGTGGCAGTCGACGGTGGTGCAGGTGGAGGATCTGGTGATTTTGGTTTTCTGTGACTAAAAATATAATATGCGACCTTAAAATTCTATAATCTGCGACCAACCATTTTGTTATCCGTGACCAACTAATTTAAAAATCTGTGACTATGTGACCTAAAAATTTTGATACGTGACCAACGAATTAATTGTGATCTAGAAATTTTTTTATATGTGACCATTAAAAAATCAGTGACCAACTAATTTGGAAATATGTGACTTGCAAAAAAAACTGTGACCGAAAATTAATTTTTAACTTATTAATATGAATTAATTAATAAATACCTGATTTTTGCAAGTTTGAAACTTAACACCTTATTTTTGCAATTGTCAAAGTTAATACATGATTTGTGAACTCCTCCCAAAGAAAAAAAAAAGGAAAAATCTTATCGAATTTGTGTTGAATGAATGATTTTTGAAAAGAATTACGTTTAAAAATGCGATTTTACGTAAGTATAAGTGGCCTGAATTCATACAAATTCTCTTCGACAAGCGATAGCTCACGCTACGATGATGAAGGATTGAAACGAAGCTCCGTGTTACAATTCAACAACCAGTTGAAGCAAAACCGGTGGCTGAAGCAAAAACATAAATTGAAGCTAAAATCATAGATGGTTGAAATTAGTTAGAAAAGCTGAGTTGATAAATAGTTACACGTGTTAGCTAACAGTTAGAATTCAGTTGAGTTGTAACTGATAGCTTGAAAGCTAATTCTATAAATAGAATCAATGTACAAACAACAATCAATTGAATATAGAATGCAATAGAAAAGAGAATATGATATCTCTTTATATTTTTCCGTTCTTATATCTTTTTAGTTTCTTTTTTGATATGGTACCAGAGCTATCTAATGTCTTCTGCTGTGTTCTAGATTAGCTCATTTATTGATTGTGATTATGGCTGTTGATGATTCTTCTAATCCTTTGTTCTTAGCAAACAGTGACAATCTTGGTATTGTATAGGTTTCTCAAGTTCTTGATGGCTCCAACTATTTTCCTTAGAAGAGATCGATGTCCATGGTCATCTCTGCCAAGAACAAGCTTGGCTTTATCAATGAAAATCTCCTAAAGCCATCTACAACCTGATCCTTCTTATCAAGCATGGATTCGTTGTAGTGACATGGTTTGCTCTTGAATCTTAAACTCTTTGAACAAAGATATTGCTACTAGTGTTCTTTATATTGCTACTGCATCTGATTTGTGGAAAGAACTGGAATAGAGGTTTAGTTAAGGAAATGTCGAAACCTTGTGGGATGAATATTTCAATTATCGTCATTTACTTAATGATTCTAGTCCTAGTATTAAAACTCTATTGGATTATCATCGCTAAGATTACGTTCTGCACTTTCTTATGGGACTGAATGAGAGTTTTGCTACAATAAGAGGTCGAATACTACTATCTAATCCTTTGTATTCCCTCAACAAAGTTTTCTTTTTGATTCTACAAGAGGAAACTCAAAGACATATTGGTCATTATACTCCTCATTTTGACTTTGTTGCTATGGATAGAAGGACAACACCTGATCTTTCTCTGCCTCAATATTCATTTGGTTCATTCAGGCAGCCATCTGGTCCTCGAAAAGGAAAATTATGCTGTGCTGAATGTGGATATACCTCTCACACTACTGACAAGTGCTTCAGAATTATTGGTTTTCCACCTGGCTTTAAATCAGGCATGAGTAAGGGAATTAATTCTTCAAGCCAGGTTCATTCAGTGGCATCTTTTTGAGAGTAGACCCTTTCTTCAATGCCACTCACTCAAGAACAATATAATCAACTCCTCAATTTACTTAAACATGTCAATGCTCCACCCGTTGACACTCCTTTGTCAGTAAGTGTGATAATCTCACCCCATCTTTCAGCCTCAATGCAATATGACAAGTAAACTCCATTGCCCATCTTTTTCTTCTACTTCTACTTGCTTTTCAAATACTCCCTGGATTATTGATACGGGAGCAACATACCACATGGTACGTTTAGCCTCTCTTCTCAATACTATAACAACTGAAGTAAATTATTTTGTTCAATTACCTATTAGTGCTTCTGCACAAGTTACTCATATTGGCACTGTTTTCATTTTAGATAAACTTTGTTTAACAAATGTCATGTGCGTTCATTCTTTTTCTTTTAACTTGCTATTAGCCAATCAACTTACACGCAGCTCTAATTGTTTCTTAAATTTTTTGTCTCGTTACTGCTTTATTCAGGACCTTATCTCATGGACGACGATTGGTATAGGTGAAGAAAAAGGAGGATTATATCATTTGTCAACGTTTGTAGCAGAGTCTCCTATATGTGCTACTTCTTCTGCAAAATCAAATTGTTTTGATCATTGGCATTTTCGCTTAAGTAATTTGTCTCCTACTTTAATAAAAAGTCTTGCTAATTCCAATTCCGATGTAATCTTTAGTGATATATTTTCTATACACATATTTCTGTTAGTATATTGTGATGTATGGGGGCCTTTTGCTAATCCTTCTTTAAATGGTGCAATCTTTAAATGGTGCAAAGTATTTTCTCACCTTAGTGGATAACTTCTCCAGATCAACATGGATATATCTTTTGCACCATAAATCTGAATTAAAATCATATATTCAATGGTTCTATAATCTTATTGAAACACAATCTCAAGTTAAAATAAAACAATTCCGCATTGATAATGCCCATGACCTTGATATGAGAGATTTTTGTACCGAAAAATGAATTATTCAACAAAAAACTACACCTCAACAAAACAATGCAGTCGAACGCAAACATCAGCACCTGCTCAATGTTTTAAAAGCACTCATGTTTCAAGCCAATTTACCAACTCATTTGCTGCAACAGAAGTCTACCTTTGAGATACCATGTGCCGAACCTCCTACTTAAACTCATCTTAGAGTCTTTGGTAGTTTATGTTTTGCCTCTATCCTATTTCACAGCCATTCTAAATTTACTCCTCGAGCTCGTAGGTGTATATTTCTTGCATATTCTTATGGTGTCAAGGGATATAAACTTTATTATCTTGATCTTCATACTTCTTTCATATCTTGAGATGTAGTTTTCATGAACGCATCTTCCCTTATAAAGATTTGTCTTCCGTTTCTTATGACAATTCATTCATGTTTCCTAAATCTCTCCCATCTCAAGAATTGTACACTTCCATTTCTACGTCAAATGTGCCCTCTTCTACAATTGTACCTCGCAGGTCTTCTAGAGTCAGAAACACTCCTAGTTACCTTGAACACTATCATTGCAATCTTCTTCCTTCTTCCTCAGCTCAACCTCGTTCCATGTGTTCAGGCGGCTCGAATAACGTCAGTACTCCCTTATGATTTAGCTGCATCTTTACAGTATAGCAAGTTATATCCGTCCTTTTCAAGTTTTTGTCTCTCAGTTTCTACCAACTTTGAGCCTACACACTGCTACCAAGCTATAAAATCTGAGCATTGGAAAAAGGCTATGCAAGCCGAAACAATTACTGTCTTGGATTTTGGATTTACTCCTTTCTGTTCAAACGTGATCTGATACAATTGCTGTCTTGGTATCAATAATGCCACAGCCACCTGCACTCATGCACACACACTATATTTAATATTTTCTTTGAGATGCTGCTAATCTCTATATGGGCAAGATATATTGCTTTCCTAATAACTTTTTGATCCAATCAACAGAATCTAGATAGTCCGCGTAATTGCTTTACTGTGTTAGAACACTAGTTTCTGCTTTTTTCTAAGTTTTGGCCATTTCCCTTTTCAGGCTAGAACTTTTGCAAGAATGTGAGAGACAGAACCAAGAACAAGTGGAAGCTTTAAAGTGGGAGATGCAGAGTGGAATGGTATTCTTCTGCATAAGCAATAAAATCTCATTTTCTAGACAATACAAAGTCAAGTAATCGGTTTTGTTTACTTGATGCCAGGCTCAAGCAATGAAAGAGCAAGCCCGACTCAAGGAAGAGGATGGCTTACCGATACAAGCTCGCCAACTTTGAGGTAAGGATCATCTTGAAAAGGTCGCAAGTCCATTTTCATCCCATGTATTAACTAGTTTTAATCAACTGGCTGCAGCTGCTATTCATCTCATATTACTAGCTTTTGGAATTTTTGTAAGATTTGCTTAAACTTCTCTTCGGATTCTGGATCTGTAATCTCCTCTATTAGATCTTACTAGAGTATTTGAAATTTTTGAGTTAGGAGCCTGCGATGAAAAATGTGGCCGCCCGCACTTTTGCCCAACTTGATCATCAACAAATGTGCTTGCTTATCACTATGTATAATCTTTTTCGTGATTCTTTGCAGATAAGGTGCATTGTCTTTTAAGTACTATATGAGTATATGGTAAATGTAACATAATCAAATCGAGAAAATACGATTAAAAAAAGTGGAAGACGATCTGCTCTTCTTATTAATATTCGTTAAATTGAGACAACGATAGTCATTTGAATATAATATAATCTAACGCAAACAAGATCTATAGGCAATAAAAAAGAGAAAAAAAAATATATAAGAATTTTGATTAGAATTTTATCTTTAAATAGTTGTTAATGGTCCAAAAAATGAGCTGCAAAAGTCCACAATTACGCATTCCAAGGATCCACCCTCTGTGTACCGAGACAAACAGAGGGCCCACCGATTGAAATTTTCAGACACTCTCCCTTTGCAGTCCAGTGTTAATGGATAGATCAGAAATGATCTAATGAGCACCGGTGCTCATCTTATCCTAAGCACCGATGAGTTGGCACATTAATTCATTGGTGGATAAAGATTTTGTGAGTTCCAATCCACCAATGAATTAATGTGCCAACTCATTGGTGCTTAGGATAAGATGAGCACCGGTGCTCATTAGATCATTTCTGATGAATAGATTATGTAAAACATAATTACTGTTTATGTAAATTATAGTACATGTTTGTACCTTTTTATAAAATAATGTATTTTTGAATATTAATTTTTTGTAGAATGCGCGATAAAAAATAAGAATTTTTTTTAATTTACGTGTAATATTATTTTATTAATAAATACGTGATTTAAAAGATGAGAAAGAAAAATGTATTAAAAATCTTAAGGGAGATCTAACAGGGGCATAATTACAACAGTAATTTAGTGGAAGCCATGATTTTCCAATTTGCAAACGGCTTCCTCGGAGGAGCTGCTTGTCTGTCCCACGACCACTAGCAGCTGGCTTCTTACTTGGTTTGTTCGAGATATATTAGAATAATATTTTATATATTTTAAAGAGGAAAATAAAGGAGTCGGAACTCTTTTTAAATTAGAACTTTTTATTTCTCATGTTCATTTTTAAATATATATTTATAAAATAAAATATTTTATACTTTAATTCAAAATCTTTCTTATTATTCAGTAATATATTCTCTAAATAATTACTATTCTAATATCATTTTTATATTAGAATGTTAATATATGGAAACAGGCTGAAGTTAGTCGGGTGACTTCCCAATATGGACCCAAGCAGGCTGAGACTTGGATTCTGTTACATACAAGAATTAAAATAATATCCAAATTATATCTCTGTCTTGACAATAAAGCTGCTTTCATTTCAATACATTTCCACTTTAACAAAATAAATAAATACATAGCACAAAATAATGAAATATATTCCCATAAACCCCTGCTGGGACCCTGGTCCCTTTCACACCCTGCTTTACTCCTTTCTCCTCTCTCGTACCTCTACAATCTCCAACCCCCCCTTTCCCTCACCAACATATACATACAAGCATATATACACATCAACAGAGATAGAGACACTGTGTTCTTCTATATCTAAAGTTGCAGCAGATATATACATAAATAGAGGCAAAGATGAGAGGGCCATTGGGGCCAGTGATAGGGAGGTACCCGTCAAGTGATGGAAATGCTGGAATGGGGGCTGGAAATAATGATATCATTAAGCATAACAGGAAATGCAGAGATGTGGTGTTTTTAGTCATGTTCATTGGGTTCTGGGTGGCAATGATTGTTAATTCAAGCCTTGGTTTCCACCTGGGGAATCCTTTAAGGTACATATAACAAGAAAAGATGTTTGCTTTTTTTTTTTTCCTGTCCATTTTCAAGATTCCCTAAATGGTCTGCTTTACTTTTTACAGTTCTGATCCGTTTATTTTCTTCTTCTTGTAACAAAAATGGAATCTTTTTGCATTTTCTTGTGTAAAAAATTGCATCTTTATACTTGAGGGTTTTATGGGCATTTCTGTTTTTGTTTTTATTTTTTATCGTTTGAAGGGGTAGGGTGAGGAAAATAGGGGAATTTTCTGGCAACTAGATATTTAGTGGGTGCTTTTTCCAGAATTTAGGGGGATTGCAGATTGGTGGTTTTTAAAATATTTTCATTTTAAATTCTGTGAATTTTGTCAAATCTGGGTTATAGATTCTATGTCCATTTGTTCTTTACCATTTTGGGGGCGCTTTCATTGAAATTGACAAGTCATAAATACTACTGGAGGAGAAGAGAAGCTAAATTTTTTGGTTCGATATAACTGGTTTCTCTCTACTGGAGAATGTGTTTATGTACTTTTTGAGTTTTTTTAATGCCTCTCTTTTTCTTTTTCATTTTACTTCTGAATTGTTTCTTTGCATTCTTCACTCGTTTTTTAATTGTTATTATGTGTATGATTTGATTTATCAGGCTAAATTATGGACTGGACTATAAAGGAAACGTGTGTGGTGACAGACATGCTGATCGCGATCTTCGTGAATTGGAACTCAGATACTGGTTAAACCCAAACCAGGTTTACCAAAGTGGTTTGAAGGATAGCAAATTTCATATTTCCAATGCCCGGAGTATTTGCTTAATGGATTGTCCAATCCCATCAGAAGATTCCCTTAATTGGGTCTGTGATTATCCAGAAGGAGATATCCGTCTCTCAGTTGATGACTGGATTGATAGAAACTATGATTATTTTGCAGACCTTCCTCCCGAGCTTAGGAACACTTCTCTCCAGCTTCTGGGCCCTTGCTATCCAGTTGTATTTCCAAGTGTTAATGGTAATTTTGTAATTTCTAGTATTGACTTTTAGCATATGAAAATGTGATGGAGGAGAATCTAGGTTAGTATGTTACTGTCTTATTATACGTGGTTCATTGCTGTTTCTGTTCCTCTAGTTTAACACCAAATTATGTTTGGTTGGGAGCATTGGACATAAAATCTTGTTCACTATATGTTACAGGCATTCATTTGCTGATACTATCTTTTAATTTCCCGTTGTCAGTTTATTGGACCTGCCAGCTTATTGCTCGTGTATCGAATGTGTCTATGAGGCATTGGCAGCAGATGGGTGGAGTGAACATCATAGAGGACATTGCAATTGACAAAGCCATCCACAGATCCATTAACTCTCGGTCAGCAGTCCTAAAGGTTGACTCGTCAACTATGCTTCATTTATTTTTGCTTCTTGAAGTATTCAACCTTGAAATGAACCTCAAAGCCAGCTAGTAGTTATGATGAAATCATATTCTATATTATTTAAATTTGGGTAACTTGTGTTTCCCATCATCAGAAAACAATTCAATTTCACATTGTTGCCTTGGAAGTCCTTGTTCACTTTATTGATAATTTACTGTATACAGTGGCTTTGCTGCCCTAATAAGAAACTTGGCCACTGTATGACACGTATTCTTTCAAAATACATTTTTTCAAAACTCATTTTTAACCACACATTTTTAAATAAAATAATATTTTCCATCACATCAATAACTTTTTCTTACTTTTTAACCACATATTTCTTATCATATCACTATTTAAAATACATTATTTCCTCAATAATATCCATCAAACACCCCCTTGATGTCTCTGAATATTTCCATTAAATTTAATCTCATTATAAGGTCTTCAGCCCCGATAAAATATAAGATGTAACTTTCATTTGTAAACTTGATTTGTTTATTGTTTGTTGTTTCTAGACCAACAATCAGAATCCTTTGACCATGTCTGAATTGTTCCATACTCTAGAAAAATAGTATGGATATTATTGGCCAATTGGTATCACCCTGTGGTGGTGATATTCTTAAAACAATTTTGTGCTTATTTGTGAACAATATCAGAATATAGTATAATTTTTAACTTTTTGGTGAAAACTAAGTGAAAAAATGTAATTTGATTGTTATCTATTGTATGGCTAAAAGGCTAGACAAGTTTTTAATTATAAATTAGAGATTGTTATTTATGCTGCTATAAATATTAGTATTAATGCAATAAACTATTTATACATTACCATTGCATTTTACAGTTCGCATACTGAAAACTTGTCTTTTCTGTTTTATTGTGCAGAGATATGTGGCTGATGTTGGAAAATCATGGCGTGTATTGCTTGTTTGTGGAGGACTTGTGCCACTGTTCTTATCAGTAATCTGGCTTTTGATGATCCGTCATTTTGTTGCTGGAATGCCATGGATAACTGTCATTCTTTTTAATATTCTCATAATATCAGTGACAATGTTTTATTACTTGAAAGGTTAGGACATCTTCTCAAAATGCTTTTCTAAGTGGCTTATTGGAAAATCTAATTGGATTTTGTTATAGCCAAGGCTATATTTAATTCATGGTATTAATTTAGGATTTTAAAAACAAATTTTTGAACTGCTGAAGGTAATTATAACAGTAAGAGATGATCATTGTACTAATAATTTTAGTCATTCAGAGTTTTGAACTGATATCTCTGGAAAATTGTGAAGCCAAAAACACTTGTCAATATAGAACAACATTTCAAAATACTTTGTTTCTGTCAGTCTTCTTTGAGACGCATATATCAATATCTAGCTATAATATAGATACTAAGGTTTTTTAGCACATTAGCACATTGAGCAGCATTGTTGGATTTTTTGGTGGCCTGAGGATGAGCAATTTTTTATTGTTTTTTAAGGTTTGGGATTGCCAGATGTCGAATGTAATCTTGAATTCCTTTTACCTAATTACTGTTGTATGAGCTTGAATTTATGGTGACAGCTATATTAAAGACACTATTGCTTAAATGCTTTTTGCCTTGCTCTGTAGCTGGATGGATTGGGAATGATGCCATCTCTCCCATCATTGGTGAGCACGACCTTTATTATCATGTATCTGCAAGGGTGAGATACTGAATTCCTGAAGTTCTTGTTACCTTACTAATTTTTACCCACTACTGTTAGCCTGATATAGATTATGCATTGTCCAGGAAGCAAGTCATCTCCACTTAGCCGCTGTTATCATGACCGCCGTGATGATAATTGCTTTCCTATCATCTATTGCTATAGTCCGTCGCATCCTTATGGCAACATCTGTCCTCAAGGCATGATACCTATATCTATGCAATATACTTATGGCTTGTTTGCTGAAGTGGATTGTACAGTACAGACTGTATTAAGGAAGGAATAGAAACTAAAATCTTGTATTTTGTCCTATCTATTGTTGTTCTGTACTTGATATCAAACATGCACTTAATGCCTCGTCCGAAGAGAAATAAATTTGACGTTTCATAGATAGTGAGACGTCCCTAGCTGCTTAAGGCCCTGCTCATGTAGCTTTTGATTTGTTTGTCGTGTTTTACTGTTCTGTTTATTCTAAAATCAGGTATTTGTTTAGTTATTATGTTTATTGTTCTAATCAGTTGAACTTTAAATCCTAGGTGGCTGCAAAGGTTATAGGAGAAGTCCATGCATTGATAGTTTTCCCAGTTATACCATATCTCATGCTTGCAGTTTTTTTTATGTTCTGGATTTCGGCTGCTCTCCATCTTTTTAGTTCTGGAACGGTGCTACAGAATGAATGCAGCGCTAATTGCTGTGCATATGATCTCAAATCGAAAAGGGTGAGCTGTGATCAATGCTGTGGTTATAGGCTCCATTATACTACTCATATTGCTGCAGCAATTCTTTTCCACCTATTCGGTGGCTATTGGGCCACCCAATTTTTCACAGCGTTCTCTTCAACTGTGCTTGCGGGTTCTGTTGCTTCATATTATTGGGCTCGAGGGGAAACATCGGTAAGCATCTGAGCAATAATATAGTTCATGCTCTTTCACAATATAGCGTGGCTTCATCATATTCATGCTTTAAATGGAGTTCATCTGCTTTATGTGCAGTTAGAATTGATCATTTTTGTCGTGCTTTATATTGATATATTCTCATCTCATATCTTTCCCATAATTAATCTGCTTTATTTGTAAATGCAGCCTGAGATCCCCTTCCTTCCAGTTTTCTCATCGATGAAGCGGCTTATACGTTATAGTCTTGGGTCTATTGCACTTGGTTCTTTGATTGTGTCATTCGTTGAATCAATTCGATTTATACTTGAAGCACTCCGCCGCAGGCTAAAACTTTCAAATTCTATGCCTGGAAGCTGGCTTGGAAAGATGGTATTTCACACTTCACAGGGTTGCTTGAGGTGTATTAGTTGGACCATCAAATCTGTGAACCGCAATGCTTACATAATGGTATGTATGTAGCATTTTTAGTTAAGATGCAGTCGAGCATTGTATTTGCACAACATGTTTCTTGAAGCTTCCACTCAATGTGATTACTCCTTTACAAGGACTATAAGTTGGGATCCTGTTCTTATGGCTACTATCATTCCCCTTTTGGCTCTGGTTAGCATCATTACTCAAGGTGATGTCCCCACAATTCGAATCATCATCGCTCTTATAATGAGGTTCAAGTGTGTCCTGGTATCACTTGCCTGCCCTGGTACTGGTGCCACACACAGAAGCTCATTACAAGTGTCGAGGGTTCAACCTGTTGACACTAATGAGGGGGTACCTGAAGCCAAAGAGGAATAGATATATGCATAAAAAATTAACGGGCACGTACTATCCCATCGCAAAAATGGAACTTCGTGCTTATCCTATCTTGGTCGTTCAATCAAGAATGTACTATTCCTTGTCTCTGAAACAGTACTAGTATATGTTTGATTACTCTCTCTCTCTCTCTCTCTCTCTCTCTCTCTCACACACACACGCACATAGTTTTTTTTTGATTTCTCTCTCTCTCTCTCTCTCTCACTCACACTCACTCTCATAGTGTAACTTTTGTTACAGATTGCAATAACAGGCAAAGGCTTCTTTAAAGCTTCTGAGATTGCAACAGAATTGATCATGAGTAACATCCTTCGGATTGGGAAGGTGAATGTTCTTGGAGACGTGATTCTCTTCCTTGGGAAGCTCTGTGTCAGCCTTACAAGTGCCCTTTTTGCTTTTCTAATGTTGGACACCCATAGATATAAATCTGCACATTACAAGATTTCTTCCCCGCTGTTTCCTGTGCTGGTATGTCAGTTAAATTATCATGTAATAAATTTTCCGCAGATAAAAGCATTCAAAAATGCGTTAGTACTATTTTCCTTAGCGATCAGGTGCTAGTGTTAATCAGGCTAATCAACAAATACAAGAACGGAAAGAACTGAAAAATTATTCCATCTTATTAAGAAATCGATGTCTTACTCCATAACTGTGAGGGAATATTAGCCTGACAAGTCTAAAATATAAAAACATTTTTCTGTTTGCACAAATGGCTTGGTTAGCAATTTTAATTAAGTGATTGCTTCTCATAATTGTTGATGGCTGTGCGATAGTGAGTTATTTAATACACTGCTTATCTTGAATTTATTACCGTTATGTTAGGCTAAGCTTAAAAAAGGTAAACGTTACTTTATTTCCAAACATGATTCCAGTATGCTACTTTTTTCTTATCTTTTAAGTATAAATTTACTTATAAATACGTATCATTCTTACCTTAATGCCCAAATAAGTTGCTTGCTTTCAACTTTGACCACTAAAAAATGATTTACCGTAAAACTTTACACATTTACTTGTAAGAAAACTTTTTTAAGCTTAGCCAAACATGCCTAGTCTACGGGCTTCCTTATACGCTGTTGTACTTCTCACATTTTAATATTTTATAAAGCGATTGTGCTTCTTTCTGAAAAATTATCTCATATAACTCCTATATTGGAGAGCAGCTATAATGAAATGGATGCCATCCTTGTACAGGTATGTTGGATTCTTGGATACATAGTTGCCACTCTCTTCTTTGGTGTGGTGGAGATGTCTATTGATACTATCATTCTTTCGTACTGCCAAGACTCTGATGAACATCAAGGAACTGCTCAATATGCTCCTCCCCTTCTCATGGAGACTTTGAATGATCAAAATGAGATGCAAAGACTTACTCAATGACCATTTTGAAATGACCTTCAATGTCTTTATCTTCTACATATCGAATTAGCTTAATGCAACTTGATTTTCGATATATTATTATGTTGGTTTTGGCCTCACTTCTGATATCATATGATCCTTCATTGTGTATGTTAAAGTTGAGATTAGAGGAAGCCTTTGTGAAGGAAGTTCAGTGCTGAAATGTGAACTTTTTACATTTACATTGCCCTGCAAAATATTCATTGTGTGGCTCGTTTAAAATCACTTACTGTGATTGCTAGTTTGAGCCATTTAGGCTTCAATACCAATATAGGCCATATTAAAAAGTCAATATTTTTAAGAGTAAAATAGAACTTTTTATATATTGATTATTGTTTACAGAACTGGTCAAGATGTTTGGTAAAAATGGATTTTTCTTTCAATTGTCATGACGAACAACAAACTGAACTTTTATTTTCAATAAATTTGAAGTTGGCTATGCAAGTCCTTTTCATCACTATGTTCAGTTTACAGCAGCATTTTCCATTTTTCATGAAAGGAAAAACACAATTTAGCAATTTATACAGAACAGAAAATGAATAAAAATTGGTAGCAAGTAAAAAACAGGTGGAATTATATGGATGAAGGTTTTTCAAGTGGGTTTGGGAATACAACTTCTGCAACACTGCTATTTTTCATCATTTCCCCCTAGCATCTAAAACATTTTTGAATGCAACAAAACTAGCATGTTGACATCTATTTCATCTGTAACTTGTGTTACTAACTGCAAAAGTAATAACAGGAGACTAGAATTTGAATTTTTTTTTCTCTTATTGTGGCAACATTGTTAGTCTCGTTTCTATTCTCTTCTTGTGGGCATTGTCAAGGATCTCGTAATTACTTCTGGCTGAATCCTAGGAGAAACTCTGGAAGAAATGGAAGCAGAGGGTCGGAGGAGAGGCGTACCAATCCTGCTTGAAGTCTCGTTAGCAACTGTGGAATGACCACTTATATCAACAATATATGGTTGCAACTCGATTTCTGTTCCTGTTCGAGGGACTGCTCGAGGACTATCTACCAACTGATTGTCATCTTCCTCGACTGATAATACTGTACTCGTGTCTGTATGAATAGTTGAATCATCTGCAAAAGTGCCATGTCTTCTCCTTCTCCTAGCTGCCTTTCCCCATCCATGGATTGTTTCCCGGATTCCTTGTGGAATTAGGGCCGCCTTGTAGTTCGTTCCCATCTAAGCAAAAGAGAAAATGGAAAAGGTTAAACATTTCTGGGATTAAAACAGCTAGTTTGCTTCGGTAAGCATTACAATAAAGTATTGGATAGTACTATAAACAAGATTTCAACTTTTTTCTTTCTAGCGACTGGTCCAATCTACATTACCAAACAGCACTTATAATGTTATCAGAAGGAAACTCATGGACAGTGCATTTTAATTTGTTGATCAGAGCATCTTTTAACTTCAAGGCAACAGTGGATTCTGATTTTATGTTCTCGGTTTGTCCGTGTACCTGAGTAACCAGTGCATATAGTGGCAAGGTGCTATAGCTGCATAAAAATTGTCCCGCAAACCTATGCAAAATAAACTGCAGTCTCAGGCTATCAATTATCAAACTCGAAATAATTTATTTATGCAGAATATAGGGAAGAATATTGCTTGATAGTTTAAAATTTATGCATACCCCAAAACTAATCGTAGATATAACAGCAAGTGGTTCTTTATGAAGCACGAATTATACCCGAACTGCCACTGCATTAGAAGCACACCTTTGTCAGAGTTGCATTATGATATTATCACATTCATGAAATGCTTACCTCTCTCCTACCCCCACCTAGACGGAAAAAGAGAAAAACGAGAAGAAACAGGAAAGCAAAATCCACTTTTTTCTAGCCTTTAATGTTAAGAAATGTATCTCCATTGATCTTTCACACAGCACATTAGAATTTGGGAAAATTCTTAGGTAGGGGAATGCCAGACTAAAATTCAAAATGATAAAAAACTTGTTAATGTCATTGGGCTCCCTTGATCTATCTATGACAGAATTCTGAAACAATCATAAGAACTTCAGGATGAAGGGAGTACCCAGAACCAAAAGAAAGAAGCAAGCTCAAATGCATTCTGCAAAGTGAGCACAGAAAAAATTAGTTAGTAACAATACACTGTGTTTGGACCAGCAGAAGAAGCATCATAAAGAAAAATAAGATAAGAAATCAGGACTGGAATTACAACGAAACTGGTCAACCTGGAAAAGGATAAAATGTATTAAAGATAATAATAATTCTGGCTTATTAAACCAAAACAGTTCATCTCGGGGTTTAATCCTTGGTCCAGCAAAACCCCTTCCTGCACTCTCCAGTGCCAAGGTTGCAATAATATGTTGCAGTTTTGCACCCACAAATAGAACAAGCTGCAGACAAAACAATATGTATAAGAGAATAAAGTGGAAAAAACTGGTCAAGGCCTGCCCAAATGTTTAAGCTTCTGTTCACTCTCTCTCCCGCCATTTCTGACTCCTACCCCTCTCTCTGCATCATTTTTTACTTCAAATATTACATTTGGCATATTTATTATCGTTTCCTTTTATTTTCATATCAAAACTACTCAATCCCAATCCTAGTTCTAAAAAGAGGATTTGTGTATTCCTACATCACGTATTAAAGGTGTAATCCGGTGTTCAACTAGAAAACAACTTACAGTGACAGGAATTAGAGCAATCCAGAAGTAGAGATTAGATCCTGCAAGTTATAAAGTGCAATCAGCCTCTGAATCGGGTGGGAATATCGAAGCATATAAGCATAATTTTTTCTTGCTAATCAAATTAGAACAAAAGCAACTATTTAGCTTCCAATTCAAAAGATGACGTGCCTTTTACGTTGAACAGCATAAAAGCTACAACAAATCCCCAGAGAAGACCACTGTAAAAGTTCAAGAAAAAAGAGAAATGTCACCAAAGCATCTTTAGAAAATATTACCCGCATTTTGGTATACAGAATTAGACAAACTGGACAGCGTTAAAATAAAATTAGAACTTTGACTATTGTGTACGAAGCATAACCTACGAGAAAAGAAATTATGCGACAAGAAAGAATGGGCCTCAATTGATAAACAAAAGTCATTTGAGGTGAGAAAATGAAGCTTAAAGCCAACACAGAGCTTATACATAAAACAGTTTCTGATATCATCAGTATCTTACTGATGAGGCTAATGTGGAGGAACAGGCGATTGCATATTTGGAGCGCTTGAATTGTCGGCGCTCAAAGAAAGTGGCAAACTTTTGCATACGGTGTCCGTTTTGGGCCCATAACCCCATTTCGGAAAGCTCGCAACGATTCGGATGGAACTCACTGCTTTGCCATGATATATGATGGATTTTTGGCGTTTGACATCGTCTTCCTAGTCAAAACAGCATTTTAAGTTTCGTAATTCGTTAATTTTAATGTTTATTTGTTTTGCTTTGTAGCCCAACCCATTTACGGACTGTTGGCCCAGTAGGTTAACTGTTTTCTTTCATATTTAAGGTTCTCCAAACGTTTGTAGGTTTTTGGTTGTTCAAGAAATAAGAAAAGGCGTGAGTTTTCTTAAAGAGCAATCCGTTTTCACTTTATTATTGTTTGGTTTGTAGTTTTGAACTACATCAGTTGGTATCAGAGCATGGTTCGTGGAAGAGGACGTGCTGGTCGTGGTGGCTGTGGTGGCCAGATTGATGAAGTTGCAGATCTGCGTAATCAGATCGACACGTTGACAGTTCGGTTTGATCAGTTCATGACTTGGGCGACGGAGGTCCTGCAGAATGGACCACCTCCTGCCCCTCCGCGTCGTGACCCCGCAAGTGACGGGGAAGACAGGTATGATTTGGGCGAGAGGTCAGAAGAGGAGACATTATCAGCTGTACGTGGCGTTCGCGTACAATCCCCTCGTGTGCGGGATACGTTTCAACGTTGGGAATCTGGAATCAAGATTGATATTCCTGAATATCATGGTGGGATAGAGGTGGATGAATTCCTTGATTGACTAGCGGCTGTGGAGGAGATCTTGGATTACAAAAAGGTGCCCGACGATAAAAGGGTACCATTGGTGGCAACGCGTTTGCGTGGTCGCGCAGCTGCTTGGTGGCAGCAACTGAAGCAGAACCGGATCCGGCAGGGCAAGTCAAAAATTCAGTCGTGGGAAAAGATGAAAAAACATTTGAAAGCGGCGTTTCTTCCTTTCAATTATACCAGGACCTTGTATCAGCGATTACAAAATTTAAGGCAGGGCAACTATTTGTCGATGTTTATTACACAGAATTTTATCAGCTAATAGCACGTAATGACGTGGGAGAATCAGAGGATCAGCTGGTGGCATGCTACATTGGTGGGTTGCGGTTGAATTTGCAGGATGTTCTTAACATGTTTTCGCCGGTGTCTGTTTCAGAGGCTCACCAGCGCGCACTCCAGACTGAAAATCAGCAAATTCGCCGGTCTGCAGTAATTAATTCTGGTGGTCCATCTGGAGGTTGGGGTCGACCATTCGCCCCAAACCCCACATCTGGTCTGTCCCAATCCTCCATAACTGGCGGTCGGGGCGTTGATCGGAACATTCGGTCAGCGGCTTTCCCAGCTGCAAACCCGAGTGGTTGGGCTCCTTCTGGTGGACGAGGGCGTGCTATTCAGTGTTTTGGTTGTGGTAGCGTTGGTCATTTGAGGAGGGAGTGCCCTTCGCAAGGACAACCACATCCTGGTTTGTTGATAGGAGAGGCAGCACACACCTTGTCAAAGATATTGAATAAGATTACAGAGATCATCAAAGATTGCTATTATAATATTTACTTTCCTTAGTGTATGATTACTTTCCTTAGTAGTAGATTGCGTAATCTTTCCTTTTATGATTCTTTCCTTTTACAGTTATTTGTAACCCTATAAATAGGGTCTTCTACTTTGTAATAGAAACAAGTTTAATATATACAATTTTAATATTCTTCACATGGTATCAGAGCTGTTACGATCTTAAACACATTAATCTTGAATTTCGTTCCCGGCGAGCGGCCTTGAGCCGCTCGTCCGGCTAGCAATTTTGTTTCTTTTTTATTTTTTTATGTTCTTTTCGGATCTGAATTCTTGTAGTGAGAAGCAACATAGAGAGCCATCATTCTCTGCAAAAAAAATTAATGAATCTGTGCCTTCAAAATCAAGTGTTATCATAGAATCATAAACTGGTTTTTCCTTTGCTTCTTCCCAGATTTTATACGTTTGAAGGCACAAATATCATTCCCATCACCAGAATCGGCTACAAGTGGATGCATAATCTTTTGGATTCGAAGCTTGGAAGCTTTTATCTTTTCTTTCCTCCTTGCAGAAGCTAAGCATCCCCTATCAAAAGATGGTGGTGAAGCATCCAATCCTACATCTTTCTCAAATACTTGCTTCAACAAAAGCTTTTTACTCAAATCTGATTTGCCCTTCCACCAGTCTGCACATGCATGAAGGTCAAAACTTCTTGCCCTCTTCCTTTTGTTATCCTTAGACCTTTCTGATGTAGCCTTGAGTAGAGGAACCTCATCCAAGAACTTAGAATAAATCATGGTCAAACATTCTGGAGAAATCTGGAATTTATCTGGATAATCAATTCTCAAAGGTGACTGATGATTTACCTCAAAATACTGCACGGAGCAATTTTCAGTTGTATCCAGTGCAATTAAACACAAAGTTAAGCAGGATCTGGTTAAGTTGGTAATGAGTGACGTTGAGAAGAAAAAAAAA